AGCAGGAAGACAAACACATTTTGAGTCACTGAGGAAAAACAGCTGCAAGACAAAGGATGTAATTTTTAGGCTACTTTCTACCCCACCATCTGCAGGGCGGCCTCATTTATTTACAAAAAGAATAACATCTCTATCTTTCAATGAAAATCAGCAGGGAAGAATGTGAAGATCATTTGTTTTATCAGATGCCAGAGCTGCCTCAGGTAACATAGAGTGAAATTAAATTCCATACTTTATTTACGTGAATTGGTAAGGGACTGGTGGGTTCTCATTGCCTTAGTAACCACCAGGTTATTCTGCTGCTATTTCAGACATCGAGAACCGCACATTCAACACATACTTGGAAACAGAATGGAACAAACCACACATAAACAGCCTGAACATGAGAGAACTGCTCCCTTTTCACCTCACCAAACTCCACTATTGTCTTCAGTGTCCTAAATTACACCCTCACTATGCCATTCAGTGATGTATACGTTTGGGCTGCCCAACAAGCCTCCAGTTCCTGTAAACAGGAAAATACCATCAAATCACAAAATTTAGAGTCATGTTCCAGAGTGTAAATCATCCATGATGGAAACAAACATTTTAAGATTTGCAGGTGATTACTTTGACTGTCAGAGAAATGAATAAGGACAGCACAGTTATACAGAGAGATCCAAACCACTGCAACTCGGCGCCAGCTGAAAAGAACAACAAACCAAAACATGTTCCTTCACCGCTGGGGAAAAATAACATAAAAAAAAATGCACGGTATACAAATATCAAAAAACCCCAAGCTGAAAACGACTCAATGAAAAATTCTGGCCACACCTCTGACACGAAAGCCTGCAGCCGGAGGGCCACAAGCCTGAACCCGGCGGTGGGCTCCAGCAATGAGCCCGCGTGAGCAAGTGTGCCTGCCCTCCTAGCACAGCGCCGCGGCAAGGAGGGAGAGCACACTCCCCTGATACATTTTATCCTTTCAGAAAAAATAACATGAACAACCACGGAATTACAAGTCCAGTTCTGGTCTCCAGATCTTTACAATTACATTAAAAGACTGGAGACGCACAGGAAAGAGCCAAAGTGGTATTTAAAAATCCTCAGGAAACAGTTCAGATTTTAGCAGCTCGGTCTGGTCCATCAGCCCTGAAGTCTACCTGAGGGATGGCCGATTTCTTGGGTTTTGGATCAAGGCTGGATCCCCTCTAGTAAAAACGCTTTATGCAAAACCCAAGTCATCGGGCCCCATGCAGAGCTACTTGCTGACCTGCAATAGCTTGCAGCAGGGAGGAGCCAGTGGTTTGTAACAGTTTCTTCCAGTTATGAGTCCCGTGAAAGGGAATAATTCTGTTTAGAACAGCTCTGTTTACACTGTATATATGGACCAAGCAAGGTTCGCTCCTGAATCATCACAATCTTAACACTCTAAACTGGGTTGTATAAGAGAAATTAAGAGGTAAGAGACTTTTTTAAAGACAATGGACTGAAATCCATGGCAATGAGCTCCATTTCTGGCTACATCACTGCTGTGATACTTAAATCACCTTGGGAAAGTCACTATACATTTTGCAAGACAGATGGGAGCATTGACCTACCCTCTGGCTCCAATGATACTTAAAATATTTAAGAGTTACACGTGCTCAGATACTAAAACAGTGTAAATGCAGAAGCAAGCAGGCATTTAAAAAAGTTTATAGCAGTTTATCTTTCAAGGTTTTAAGAATTTTCTTAATTTTTTAGATTTTTTCTTAATTTACTGAATTTTCAAAATAACTGTAGAGTACTGTCCGTCTTCATAAACACGACAGCTGCAGCAAAAACGTGCCTCCAGTCTTCTGGATAATCCAGTAGCCAGGCAGTCATAGACCTTTTGTTTCAGAATAAACCTATCAGCTCATGGGAGAAGAGGATTCAGTACTCCAGCTCTAGAATAGGTAGGAGCCATAAGTAAGACAAAATAAAGCACAATTCTATTCAAAGATACTACATTCTCTTTTATTTCAGAGAATTTATAGTGTTGAGTATTTATACTCCTAACACATAAGGAATTGTATCATCACAGTAGATTCTTTTTCCTGGTCACTTTTTATAAGAAATATTGGAAATACGGCTACACAGAAAATGTATTTATTTATCTGAACTGGAGAAAGAAAATAAAACAAAAGCAGAAGTCAAAATACATTTATCTTGTCCCTAACTATTTATTTGGTGAGACATATACTGATAAAATTAAAAATCAATTGATCAGTTTGACAGGCAGTACTTTATTATGGGCAGAAAGAATCCTCTCTTTTGCTGGCAGTTTCAGTTATTTCTGTGAATCTGGTGTCAATCACCCTTCCTCTCTCCCGTGCTCAATTTTTTCCCCCAGACAAAAAAAGGATTCAATGTAGACATCACGCACAGATACTGACAAAAAGCATATGCAGCATGTATTTTGATAAAAAAAAGAGTTTGAGGACATCCCTTACCAAGCACTTGTTTTCTTGTTATTTTTCTCCACTGTGCTCAGCCAAACCTGCACAGACATGGGCTGAGGCAAAGGATCTTCAGCAGTGCAGCACATAACTAACACCTCAGGTTTGGCTTCTAAGGAAGGGAAAGACATTG